AACCTGTAGCTGCACCAGCACATAAATCCTCCAATTCTACATTACCAAGCCCTTCAAACAAGGGGAAACATTCGGATTTGACTCTTGTCTTCGGTATTTCTGCTGGCTTGCTGGTTTTTGCTATAATATCCGTGCTTATAATTTGTTCCTGTGCATTCCGTGGGGGAAAGGCAAAAGCATCTCCTCAAGAACCTGGTATGTTTAACCACAATGACTATGATTTTCTTTTTGGTTAGCTAAAAACTAAAGCTTAAGTTGTGTGATTTTGCACGTCTTGTGAAACCTTGTAAACAAGAATGCTGATTGATTTTGCATTTCTGGTTTTAATTCAATCTTGCAGAGTGCTTAGGTTTTTCTTTTTCTTGCAGTAAAACCAAAGACTGCGGATGCGGTTGCACAAGCAGGGTATCTTCCCCACCCAAGCAGCACTCGGTTTCTACAATATGAAGAACTTAAAGAAGCAACAAACAACTTTGCACCCGCGAGCACACTAGGGGAGGGTGGATTCGGCAGAGTTTTCAAGGGTGTTTTAACTGATGGGACAGCTGTAGCTATTAAAAGGCTTATCAGTGGAGGGCCTCAAGGAAACAGAGAGTTTTTAGTTGAAGTTGAGATGCTTAGCAGATTGCATCATCGTAATCTTGTGAAACTTGTAGGTTACTATAGCAGTCGTGACTCTTCGCAAAACCTGCTTTGTTATGAGCTTGTTCCAAATGGAAGCTTAGAAGCCTGGCTCCACGGTAATTTGCCTCTCTAAACTTGAACCACTTGGCAGCTCATTAAATGATGTTATCCTTTTTTTTTTTTTTTTTTTTTTTGCTTGAGTGGCTTTTAATATGTGGAACTGTCTTCGATCCCGTTTTGCTTCAGGCCCCTTGGGAGTAACTTGTCCTCTGGACTGGGACACCAGAATGAAGATTGCTCTGGATGCTGCAAGAGGACTAGCATACCTGCATGAGGACTCACAGCCATGTGTTATCCATAGAGATTTCAAAGCATCCAATATATTACTCGAGAAAAACTTTCACGCTAAAGTTGCTGATTTCGGCCTTGCCAAACAAGCACCGGAAGGCAGAACAAATTACCTGTCTACTCGTGTCATGGGAACATTTGGGTTAGTTTCATGCACCACTCTTGTAAATATCGCTCTCTTGTTTCAATTGACACCAAGTTAGAAATGGGATTGATTTATAGGTATGTTGCTCCTGAGTATGCTATGACCGGACATCTACTGGTAAAAAGTGATGTTTACAGCTACGGAGTCGTACTTCTTGAGTTACTTACCGGGAAGACACCTGTAGATATGTCGCAACCATCAGGACAGGAGAACCTGGTCACATGGGTGAGTAATAAGTCTGACTGTTATGAATCACTCGAGTTGCTTGATAACTTTTACAAGTTAGTTGTTCCGCTTTCAGGCGAGACCAATCCTAAGAGACAAGGATCGGTTGGAGGAGCTAGCTGATCCAAAGCTTGGAGGGAAGTACCTGAAGGAGGATTTCGTACGAGTTTGCACAATTGCAGCTGCTTGCGTTGCTCCAGAGGCTAGCCAAAGGCCAACAATGGGGGAAGTAGTACAGTCTTTAAAAATGGTGCAGCGTGTTACTGAATATCAGGATTCCCTGTTAACCGTTTCGAACAACCGACCCAACCAGAGGCAGTCCTCTACTACTTTCGAGTCTGATGAGACATCATCAATGTTCTCCTCGGGTCCTTACTCTGGCCTAAGTGCTTTCGACAATGACAACATCTCAAGGACGGCAGTTCCCTCCGAAGATCTCCATGAAGGTCGATGAACACCTTCGACCGGATATAACAGTGAGAAAATTTCTCGGTAGAAAATGGAGTTCAAACTGGAAGTGTTGCAGATTTTTGTGATCTCTATAGATGGGGAGAATGGGTTCTTCTTGTCCCTATTTGTTGTTGTACCATGGTTAAATTCACCCCCCCACTCGATGGTGGATGAAATTTTGTACATATGCATAATTGTTTTTTTCTCATTGGACATTCAAGGGTTTAATTTGTTGGTCACCAAAAATATTTATTTTATTTTTTCACTTTACTTTAATTTAGGAAAAAATATATTAGATGTCCCTATACTTTTAAAAAAAATCAGTGTTGCCATCGTATTATTTTTTCTCTCAATGTGGCTCTTTGCTCAACATTTTTCGTCATTGACTGTTACGATGCTGGCATGGCATTTCAAGGTGCTGACATGGCAGTTCAAGGTGCTGACATGACAGTTCATCTGTCATGTTTGAGTTACAAATTTAGCTTATCTATCATGTCATCTGCCATACTATCAACCAACATGAACTATCATGTCAAGACTGTAGACTGTCACATCAGTACAGTAAACTGTCACATTAGCACAGTTACGATCAACGACAAAAAACGTTGATCAAATGATCACATTAAATTTACTTTCTAGATTTGAGGATCACATTAAGAGAAAAAAAATAATACATGACCACATTCACATTAATTTTTTTAAAAGACAGTGACCTCTAAAATATATCCAAGAATATAAGCCTCAAGATTAGACTTTCGGTGATTATGTATGCGTCAGTATGAATATCATTATTAATGAGCAAAATATATTATCTTTTAATTTTATTTACCTGTCATATTCACCTTTTTTCCTATTGCGTTGTATTTAATTTATTTTTATTAATTTGAGGTAATTATAATTTATAAAATAATATATACACTTTAAAAATTTTAAATTTAAAACAATTAACGATCAAACACCTCTGCATACATTATGAATATTATTATTAAATTTAAGTTTAATAGAAAAATAAGGACTTAAACTATACTCAAAATTAATTTTTGGTGTTTAAAGAATTTTTTTTGTTAAAAATAGGTGCTTATTGTTTTTTATTAACTTTTAGGTGGATATCGTTAAAAAATGTTAAGTGGCACGTGTTATATTTATATTTTTTATTTTTTAAATAAAATTTTTTTAAAAAATCTGAACGTAAGTCATTTAACGGTTTTTTAAAACGGTAGACATCTAAAACTAGAAGTGCAACAGAGAAAACATTAGACACATATTTTTAACAAAAAAATTAGCCACCAAAAATAAATTTTAAGTATAATTTATACATTTATTTTTATATTAAACCTTAAATTTTTTTATCTTTAAATGTATTAAATTTTAACCAATTTTATATGATTTCCTCCTTTCTAGTTTCAATTTTTAGGATAATTTACTTGTTTAGTACTTAGATTATTTGTTTTGATCAGTTTTATTATCTAAATTTTCAATTTTTTTCACAATTATACATAAAGTTTAGTTTTTATTTCATTTGAATACCCACGTTTAAAATTTAACGTTAAGTTTTGAAAAGAATATTGAAATTTTAGGTACTAAAACATACCAAAACTGATAGTTCAGGTACTAATCGTGTTAAGTTTTTAATGGCGAGGTAATAAATGCTATGTATAGTTTGAAAAACTTTAAAAATTTAAATACTAAAACGAATCAAAATTAATATTTATATTCTAAACACGTTAAATTTTGAATCGTACACCTAGTTTTGACGGGTGAGTCTTTCGATATGAATTTTCTGCATACAATGACTCAAACATGAGACATTTCTTAAACGATATCAAACTACTTACCACTTGAACCAATCCGTTGCTAAAATATTAAACCACTTTTATAATAATGTTTTTATCTTTATATATTCGTATACAGTCTTTAAAAATACTACGAGTTGTTACCACTTAATCATAGTCTTAACCTTAAAATATTGATCAATAATTCAAAAAAATCATATATCAAACAAATTAGGATATATGTGTAAAAAAATAAACTATTTATTTAGTCATTTTACTTTTATTCTTTTTATGTTTTGTTAATTATAATGACTTTTAATTTATTCATTAAGCCTTTAAATTTTACTTATTAGGTCGTTAAATATTTTAATAAATTCATCCAAATCACCTAAAACTTCCCTTTTAAGACTCAAGATTTTAATTTTTTATATGATATGATCAACAATGTTAAAGTATTTTCTTGTGAATCAAAATTATGGAAAGGTCCAGGAGAAAGAGATTAGCAATATATTGATTTTATTTATAAGATAATAATGATTGCATATCATGCATGGGTGTTCAAAACTAGGTACCCGTAATTTTTGGTATTCCTAATATCGGGTACCTGAAATTTTTGGTATAAAAATGTGGACCCATATCTTGGTACATTCGAGTACCTATAAATCTCGAGTACCCGAATTTTCGGATCACGAGTACTTGATTCATAATTTTTTTTTATTTTTTTAAATTATATTATTTTTAAAAAATATAAAAATATATAAAATTTAAATATATATATATATATATATATATATATATAATAATTCACCTATAAAGTTTAAAAATTTAAATTATATAACTGAAAGAAAATTTATTAAAAATAAATAAATTTCAAAGGTTTATAAGTTGAAATAAATATTTTAAAAAATAATTTAGAATGATAATGTGAAATAATTATGAAATTAAGAATTTAGAATGGTATGACGGTAAAATTTAAGAAATTAGGAATTTAAAATGTTAGAGTAAAATAATTTGAGAATTATAAATAAAAAATTAATATAAAATAAAAAAAATTAAATTACATATACAATAAATCAAGTATCGGGTCGGAGGGTACCCGGTTAAGCTCTGACACGGAAACTAAAAATTTAGCAGGTTGGGTACCCGACCCAAAAAACGAATATTTTCAATATAAATATCCGATATTTTTTAACGAATCGGTGAGGGGATTAACCAGATAGGGTATATTTGGAACACTCCATTATCATGTTAATATAAGATTAAATTTTAATTTTTTTAAAAAAAATAATCTGAAAAGAAGGAAAGTAGGAAATTTTAGTTCTTATAAAATCTCAAACAATAATTGAAGGAGTGGTTTGGCTGAAATTTAGGGTTGCGTTTGTTATGATGGAGAATGCTAAAAGGCACGTAAAGCACTGACCCCTTCGTCTCTCGCAAGATATTCGAAGTATTCACTTCAAAGGGAAGATGGAGATCAAAGACTTCGTCCTCATCATCTCCATCTTCTATATCTTGCAAAGCTCTTCTTCTATCAGGCCTCATAACAGCTCACCGGCAGCACCGGACGCCGCTTCATCGACACCGGCCGCAGGTTCGTCGACGCCCGTTGCGCGAATGAGAGTACAATTACAAACCCCAATTCACCAGACGCCGGCGAAGAATCACCCGAATCACCATACGGAAGTAGCGATAATTCGCCAATCGAACCGGCATCGGGCCCGTCCGAGCAGTTCTCGTTTGTTAATCCAATGCCCGCTAGCAATCCACCCGGGCTGGACATAATCTGCGGAGCCATCAAGCTGCCCGTCGATTGCATGAAACTCATCTCCCCGTTCGTAAACAGAAGCATCACGATCGAGCCCCTGAGCATCGCGAAGGTGGGGATTCAAGTGTCGACCGACATGTCAAAGCAAGCGATCGACACGGCCACCAGGTTCATGGATGATCCGAAATCGTCGGCGAGCCTGAAAGAGGCCATGTCCACGTGCCTGGAAAACTACCAAGACATCCCCGACGACAACGACCTTGCGCTCCAAGCTCTCGACAAATGCAACACCAACGAGGCCGCGATCAAGCTGAGTTCCAGCCTGACCAGCGTGGCTACCTGTCTCGATGGAAACCAGCAAATGCGCATCACGTCGCCGATGAGGGACATGGAAACGGAGCTTGAGAGACTGCTTCAAATCACCCTTACCATTGTTTCCGATTTGGTCAAATTTTAGTCGAACGAAACGCCCACTAAAAGTCTAGGTAAAATAAAAATAAACAAAATAATTCTAACGTGTACTGTGTGATTATTGAATGCGTCAGTATGAATTTAATTATTAATGGGCAAAATATGTTATCTTTTTAATTTTATTTACTGCATTTTATTTTCAAGTTTAAAGATATTTTTATTTTTTTTATAAAAGAATGTATATATTTTTAATTTAATTTAATTTATTCTAACGTGTACTGTGTGATTATGAATGCGCAGTAGGAATTTAATTATTAATGGGCAAAATATGTTATCTTTTTAATTTTATTTACTGCATTTTATTTTCAAGTTTAAAGATATTTTTATTTTTTTTATAAAAGAATGTATATATTTTTAATTTAATTTAGATTTAAGTTAATATTGGAGACTCATCCATCAAAGTCAGATGTATGATGCATATCCAGATTAATTAAGATAAAACCTTAGAAATAAAGAGGCCAACAAATTTTTTTTACGAAATGATATTTAGAATTATTGTTAATTCGAAACAATTTTGATAAATTAAATTATTTATTTAATCATTTTAATAATTATCATGTCACTCTAATATAGTAGATATGTTCAAATTATTCCCTTTGTTATTAAATAATTAGTCCATCTATTATACAGATCCACTCAAATTAGTCCATTTATTTTTAAATAGATTAAATTAATCATTTTGATAGTAAAAAAATAATCGAATAGGTAAATAGATTAAATTAATCATTTTGATAGTAAAAAAAATATTCGAATAGGACAAATTAACATAGATAATTTCACTATTTAAAAAAAACATTTATTATCGGCTTAATAACAAAATAAGTGCCTAAATTATATCGTGTTTCATGAATAGGTGTCTAAACTATTTTTTGACTCATCCGGTGCCTAACGTACAAACATTACTATTTCAGGTGTCTCGGTTCCAATGCCGTTAAAAAAATCGTTAAGTGACATGTGTCACAATATGATATTTTGAAAATCTTTTTTTAAAAAATTAAAATATTTTATTTTGAAAAAAAACCCCAATTTTCTTAAAATATAAAAAAAACCCTAAACTTCTTGAATCTCTTATTCTAGCCACCTTTACTTCGTTTACTTCAATCGTCGGTCATCTCTTACCATCTATCCATTGACGACCGACCACTCACTGGTCGATCATAACCCTTATTATCATCTCAAAACCCAAAATTTCCAAATCCATAATCCCTAAAACCTAAAATACTCAATCCCTTAAATTCCTTTGGTTGATGGTCGATCGTTGTAATTGACTGATTATTCGGCTATGGCAGTCTGCTCCTTGACCATATAGTCGACCGTTTGAACTTTGGCAGTTTGGCCATGGAAACTGATTCACGAAAGGGGAGGTTCAATTAAGTTCAAAATCGAATCGAATCAAAACCTATTCGAAAAATTCATCGAACTCTCGAAAGTTCAATAAATGCTCATAAGTGCAAGTTCTCGCAGCCCATGTATTCCAAGTATCCATTATGAAGAAAGTTAAAAGGGCCCAAAAACAAGAAAGAAAGGAAAAAAAAAAAAAAGCTATCGAGCAATGCACCCTAGCGTGAACCTCGTGGGTGAAAATTTTAATTAGGGTAAACTACATTAATAGCTATTGAACTTTTAGGCTGTTTTCACTTTGGTCATGAAAAAAAGCTTCCATTGGATTCATTGTATGTATGAATTTTTTTTATTTTGGTCACTAGATCGTCAAACCATTAACAAAAATCACAAATAAAGCAATGACAGTTCAAAGTTTTAGTGAATTATACATGTTTTGAAATTCTTATAACCAAAATGAAACCAGTTTAAAAGTTTAGTGGCCGTCACTGTAGTTTATCCTTTATTTAATACTTAAATGTTGAAAGCAGCTGCTCACCTAAAAAGAAAAGCAGCGACCCCCGTGGCATCAATGAATGAGCCCATCTTTTCTCTATCCCAATTTCCCACATCGATAAGAAACGACACAATTTCACAAACTTTCCATGCCACACTCATCCAACTTTCTCATTTTGTGAACCCACATACAAAGATGAAAGAGGAAAAACACTAGAAAATGACAGTATGAACATCTAAATTTGCATGTTTTTCTATAAACACTTGGATCAAGAAGGGACAACAGGAATCCCTTCATCGAAAAACTTGCTTCTCATGAAACTAGTGAAAGCTGAACATATGGGCAGTTCTTCAAGCTCATCAAAGAAATCATTTTCGTCTGGTGTTGAAGATGATGATGATGATGATGATGCCTTTATACGTGGACATGAAGAAGAGAGTGGCTCTTCATCCACCAGAAACGCTCTCTCTAGATTCCCAATGAAAGGATCTTCTTGGTTGATCCTTAATGGGGAGGATTGCAGATACTGGAAATGCTCCTCCTCACATCCGTCCTTCACTTCTTCTCGTGAAACTTGAGTCCGATCATCGTTGTCATCGTCGTTGTTTTCGGGTTCTTTCGGTGAGCGTGTTCGGTTTTTGGGATTGAGATCAGGGCCTGGATGGTTGTGAGTGGATGTGTAAGTGATGATGAGCATTGAAGCATCCGTTTTGCATCTCTCGACTTGTTTTTTGGCCGAACATCCTTTTGATGTGCTGCACTTGTAATAACCCCTGCATGATCATTAAACATGAAGGAAACCGAACAACCACGAACATAAAGAAGAAGAAAAATACATCATCAGAAAGACAAACAACCTCGGATAAGGATACCCTTTGATGGGTTTTTGCCCATATTTCCTCCAACACCATGAATCGGAAGGCGGCCCTTCATTCTTGACCTTTCCACCATTCTCTCCTACCTTCACTGTCACAACAGTCCTCTCGACAACAACCTTCCTGGTAATCAAAACATGCCCAAAATTTAGGAATGTCGGAAACTGAAGTTGAGTGCATGTAAGTGAAGCTTAAACTAACCTTCTTTTGGATGCCTGAGTTTCAGTTGGTTTGAGCGCTGATTCTTCCTTTGAACCCAATTTTGGAGAGACAGAAGTCACAGAACCGTCCATTAACGCTGATCTTATCTCTTTCTTGTCACTCCTTTAATGTAAAGTTATGAGCAACTCTATGCATAAAATCATCACTCACCACTCACCACTCACCACCGTGCAATAAAATAAAAGCCATTATCAACACACTGCTGCTGCTGATGCATATAAATAAATATATACAGATGTTTCAACGACAAACACATTGCTGGCCCCATCCTCCACTTAATTGGTTTGTGCAAGATTGGGTTAGGCCGATTTCTCTGCCCATAAACACAATCAATTCCACTTTTCACTTGGATATTTGCCGATTATTTTATATTTTAAATTAATCCCAAACTTTAAAAATATTCTAATTAATTCTTGGGTAAATTACGCATTTAGTAACTAAAGTGTTAGTTTTGGTCCGTTTTAGTACCTAAATTTTTATTTTTTTTTCAAAATCATACTTAACGTTTGATTTTTGTTTCATTTTAGTACCCCACAGTTAGAAACTTAACGGATGGGCTGACGGCGCATAGCTCCAATGGATGAAAGGACAATCCGAATGGTAGATCACGAGAGAATGACGAGTCGACCAACATAGTCCAATTTCAGACCCATCAGACAGTTGACAACGGAGATGGGAGGATGACGAAATCGAAGAGTTCATCATCGATTGTGGAAGATTGAGGCGTTTTTCAATGAAACAAAGGACGAAATCGCGTTCACGAGGTTGAAAAGGTACAAGTTGGAAAGTTTCGACTTCATCGACCGACGGATGCAATGACCAGTGACTGTAGATGTGGCGGCCGACGAGCTTGTCCATTAAAATTTTAATTGTGGGTACTAAAATGAAATAAAAATTAAATGTTAGGTACGATTTTGAAAAAAAATGAAAGTTAGGTACCAAAATGAACTAAAACTGATAGTTTAGATACTAAATGGGTAGATTACCCTTAATTCTTTAAAGTATTTATATGTTATTAATCCATTTTTTTCATTGGTCTAACATCAAATGCTGGCTTAAAAAGGTAACATTTCATTTTAAGAGGTTAAAACTTGAAATCAAATTATCCATACAATAAATAGTATGTGTGTGTATATATATATATATTGTTCACGTGTTCTAAATGTATTTTATGATAGATTTGAATTGGTATTTTGTATTCAACTTAACTGTTAATTTTTTTATTGTAATTCCGATTTTAGGATTTTATCCTAACTAATTTAGACCGATATGTGTTGTTTATCTGACATTGGTTGGTGAATTTCCCAACGGAAATTTTCTGCTTACACATTCAAAACATGCTTAAGCGATATCAAGTTGCTGACTACTCGAATCAACTCCGTTGATTACTTTTGGACTGATAAGTTGATGGAAAAACTTAGTTGATACGAGGTTGATATTTTGAGGCCTAAAGTAAAATGTTTTAATAATATTTGAAATCAATACAGAATCAGATTCATAGTTTGGGGATGTTCAATGTAATTAACCTATGCTTTATAAAATGGTCACTCTGGTGGCGGCGTTGGAAACTTGGCACATAAGTTAAATCAGCTTAAAAGGCAAATTCAAGCGGAGAGAACAGCTTCGGTAAAGGTAATTTGGTGAAATGCTTTCTGCAAGAATCCAAATTCCTTTATGTAAGCTTGCTAATGGTCATGAGGTTGTATCTTCAACGAGTGTCAAGCTTCCGTATGTTGAGAAGTTGCCACCGTATACGACATGGATATTTCTGGACAAGTATGTTGGATTAGCATATTAGTCTGCCTAGTTTTGAGTGTTCTATTCTGTCTGTTTATGTACTCTGTGCTTCTGCTTTGACTTGGTAGGCCACTAGAGAGCACTTGATCTGAATAGCTTTAGCCATTAGGTCATGGGCTAGCCATGCTACTTAAGTCTTCTCCAGTTGAGGGTTATATTTTGGGGAGCTTTCTTGAGAGGGCTTCAATTAGTGTTGGCATTGGCACCAAGCTTAAGCCATTAGCAAAAGCTAGCCCCCTCAAGGTTTTGTTACTATTATTTAGTTCAAAGTGGAGATTTCAGCAGCACAAGACTCCACAGATGAAATCTACCACCTTTTCTCATCTTATCTTGCTTTCCATGAGATTTTATTTTGGCCTGTCTTATCTTAAATATGCATCATTCAGCTCAGAAATCAGAGAATGGCTGATGACCAATCTGTTGTCGGAAGAAGACGTATATACTATGACCAACACGGCAGTGAAGCTTTGATCTGTAGTGAGAGTGAGGAAGACAGTGCTGAGCCTGAGGAAGAAAAACATGAATTTTCTGAGGGTGAAGATCTTCTTTTGTGGTAAGTAAAATAGGATGCAACCTCCATTAATAAATAGAGGAAGTGCACATTTGCACTTAGATAGCTGAACTCCTGTGCCTTTTCCTCATCATACTGCTCAGAAGTCAACATCATCTACGGAAATGCAACTGGTAGGCATTGTTGTCTTTCAATGTATGTGGCCTAGGACCTATTACTGTTGTAGTGCATGGTGAGATGTAGTGAGAATGATGTAAAACTAGTTGGCAAAATTGTGTCTGGTTCTTCTGCTGTTTTCGGTTTTTACTGTGTTAGACGCTTCATACTGGTATTTATTTCAGTATATGTAACTGACCTTGGGTTTAGTGCAGAAGTGACGCCCTGTCATTCTTAAGAAACGTTTATTTGGATTTTTACTTAACTGTGGATAAGTTATTTTCTTTTGCACTTTATGGGAAAAAATAAGGCTCAATCATTTTAGATTAACAATTTGAATTTGGTAGGAATGTCTGTCAGGAGTATGGTCTAGGTGAGGAAATATTGATGTCTGTCAGCCAGTTTTTGGGAGTCACCAGCTCTGAGATCCAGGTATTCTGCTATAAACATGCACACATGATTGCCTTCCTTGTATGATATTTGGTTTCTTTAATCCTTCCAAGGTTTGTGTTTACATACTATTTTTTTAAATAATTATTAGTAACTGTTTTCTATAAGATTTGCAGGATCGGCATGGCTTGCTCAGAGACAAATACAGTGACCAGAACATTAAAGATTCTGAATATTCTGTATCTGAGAAGGGTATATCTTTGGACAAGAGCCTCAGTGCTGCCTTAGATTCTTTTGATAACCTCTTTTGCTGCCACTGCTTGGTACTACCTCTCACCACCATTCTTAATGTAGTTCATTCATTAAAGAGAAACATGGGCCTACTGATATCACATGCAGCAGCTCTTTCGACATTTTAAAAAACCTTTTCTGATCAAAATTTTATCTGCCTAATAGTTATTTGATTGCCGTCTTCATGGCTGTTCCCAATCTTTAATTAATCCTGTAAGCAATATGTTTCTTGTCTTTCAATTGAATGTGATTTTGTTTCATTAGTTTTTCTGATTTGGAACCTATTGCTTTACAGAGTGAAAAGCAACCATATTGGTCTGAATATGAAGATGACAGGAAGCTTTGCAGCGATCAATGTTACCTCCGGGCTTGGTTTTATTATTTGGTTTTTTTATTCTTTTGTGCTAAAAAGCTTGTATGGTATTGTCTTATGAGTTGATACTGCCAAAACCATTATTGTTGATAACTTTATGATCTAAAGTTCTCCCTTGATGTCCAAATATTTGCATTCTTTATTGTTCTCTGGTTCTGTTCCTCATCCTAGAAACATGGGTTCTGATATTTGTGTTAAAACTTTTATTTGGATCTAATATCTTTCATTTTGTCGGGAAGGAGTGAAGCTTTTTTTATTTCAACATCAATTCATGCAGTTAAGAGCTGTCAAAGATGTGGCAGAAGGTTCAGGTGTCAAAGCATTGCATGGAGTGAAAACTGCAACTTTATAAGAGAAAGACCAGGCTGTGTCATCTGATGCCAAAAGAGAAAAAGACTATTGCTGATGCAGATCTCAAGCAAGATGACAGAGGAGAAGAAAGGCCTGTTGGGTTAGAAGGTATTAATGACTCAGAATGTGCTGGTGAAGCTCAAACTTTGGTGATATCTTCCAGACCAATGGATAACCCTGAAAGTTCTGGAAAGCGCAAAGCCTCCCAAGAACCATTAGATGATCCACTACACTGTTCTGATGGCAGCCAAGATTTTGCAAGTAAGAAACATAAGATGTAACTGGTTTTGGATGTAGCCACAAAGTCTTCTGTCCAAGTCATGCCGGTGCTGAAAGTAGTAAAAGTAGGAATGATGATGTTGACTCTTAATGAAAATGAAGCTCAAATTACAGCCAAAAACAACAAAAATGAATATGGTGAAAGGGGATTGGAAACTTTTACATGTCCTGCTAGTGCTTCCAAGACCAAGGATAAGACAGGGAATGGAGGCAAAGATGTTACAGAGGTGCCTGATTTGAAGTGGTCATCTTCTGAGTGGAAGCCCATTGAGAGAGAATTGTATTTGAAGGGAGTGGAGATCTTTGGGAGAAACAGGTAGAAGGGATTGGAATTTTTTTCAGTCTTTTGCTTTGCAAAAAATGCAAATTGATATTATGAGTTAAATATAAATACATTTTTATCTTTGGCATTAGTTTCTGCAGTTCTACTTATTTAATGGACTAAACTGCAGCAGCTTTCTTAGGGGACTAAAATGTGCTGAGCCAAAACATTTAGACGGTTGTGATTAAACATCTTTCTTCTCCCTCCTAGATAACAATATCTTTATGCTTCTACTAATTGTGTATCATGCTCATGTTTACGTATTAATTTTATTTTAATCATTCGTCATTTAATAATTAGTAGAACTAATAATGTAATATTATTTTATTGTGACACATAAACATCACCTTTATTTTTTACCATAGATGATTCAAGTTTTTTAAAAAATGGATAAATACCCATATAGCACCTAAACTATCGATTTTGGTATGTTTAATGCCTACATTTTCAAATTTTTTCAAAATTATATCTAAAATTTAATTTTTATTTCATTTTAATACTCGTTAAAAGATTCAGTTTTTGTTTTATTTTAGTATCCATGTTCAAAATTTAACGTTAAGTTTTAAAAAAATTAAAAGTTTAGATACTAAAGCAAACCAAACCTATTAAGTTTTTAACGACGGGATATTAAAATGAAATGAAAACTTAAAATTAGGTATTATTTGGAAAAAACTGAAAATTTAAATACTAAATAGACCAAAACTAATAGTTTAAGTAC